AAGGTAAGGAGGAAACTTTGTAGCTGCCTCTGTGCTGAGGAATAGCAGCTTCAACAGTAAGGAACACTCCTGTATGGTGGCTGTACAGTACAGTCAGCTAGTTGGATAACTGACCTACCCATTTATCTAACAGTGATAAACAGTTGGTCAAATATGAAGAACTAATCTTAGTTATTTTGTTTTATTGGTATCAATTGTTTGCTAGTTTTGTATTAACTGGAAAAGTCAAAAGTCTTTAACAACAGCATTTCCGTCTACCAATAGACAGAGGGTGGAATTCTGACCTTACTGAAGTCAGTGGGAGTTTTGCCATTGACTTCAATAGGGCTAGGATTTCACCCTGACTTAATTTTCCCCAAATACATAAGCAGCAACCCTGGTAATTTGTTTACCCACCAGCATTCCTTTGACCGCAAATTTTACTCCTTGACTATTCATAGATTCATACAGTTTAAGGTTGGAATGGACACACAACTACTCTGATCTGTATTTCAGAGACCAGGGAACTTCATCCAATTTCCACAAAGCCCATAACTCAGGGGTGGGAAAGATGCAACCAGTGGGCCACATCCAGTCTGCCAAGTCACTGAATCCCACGACAACCTCACCGGGACCCTTAGGGCAGAACAGCTCATGCTGCTTTAAACCTCCAACCCAGACCCCATACTCCCTCCACAGAAGTGCAGCCCTCGACCACTTAGCAAAATCTTGGAGTGGCCTCCCATTAAAAATTATTGCCCACTCCTGCCATAATTTCTGTGTGGGCTAGAGTATTCTCTCTTAATAAAGATATCCAAACATTATTTAAACATCACCGGTAAAGAACAATTCTCCACATACACATTCTCCATTTATCTGGAGGAGAAAGAGCTGTAGTTTCTTTTGACTTCAGTACTTCTTGGGCATGTCTACACCGAGGAGTTATTTCAAAATAACTCCCCTATTTCAAAATAACAAGGCAAGTATCCACACTACCAAGACTGTTACTTTGAAATAATAACTCCTGTTTCTGAAGAGGAATAAGCTTATTTTGAACTAGTTCTTTCAGGAGTTATTATTTTGAAATAACCTGGTGGTGTAGACATAGCCCTTCAGTTCTCCAAAGATCTTGCCAATGTCCTCCAGCAAAGAGAGAAAAGTAAGGCAAACTGAACCCTCCTAATTTTCCTATTAAAATAAATGGTTATGTGTACAATTTTTAAAATACTGAAACAGTCTAAGGACTAGACTGACATAGCCATGAGTTGCACCTAAATCCACTGAAATTTCCTTTCAGCACTATTAAACATGCATACATGCCTGAACATTGGGCTCAGAAAACACCTTTGTTTTCCTGGGTGTCTGGCTGGTGAGTCTTGCCCACATACTCAGGGTTCAGCTGATCGCCATATATGGGGTCAGGAAGGAATTTTCCTCCAGGGTAGACTGGCAGAGGCCCTGGAGGTTTTTCGCCTTCCTCTGTAGCATGGGGGACAGATCACAGCTGGAGGATTCTCTGCATCTTGGGGTTTTTAAACTATTTGAAGGCTTTAATATCTGAGATATAGGTGAGAGGATTATTCCAGGAGTGGGTGGGTGAGATTCTGTGGCCTGCACTGTGCAGGGGGTCAGACTAGATGATCATGATGGTCCCTTCTGACCTTAAAGTCTATGAGTCTATGCTTTGCAGTTCACCTCTGAGATACAGTTTAGTTTGTAATACAAAAGCAATTTCCTGTCCATTGATATAATAGATGCTTATGGGGTAAAAAAAGTCTAAAATTCTATTTAATTAATTTCACAAAATGTTCAGGTATGCCGGTTTAGTGCTTCAGTAAAAGCCTTTTACAATAGACAACTGCTATCATAAAAGGCCACAATAATTACAGCTGTACAGATTTTCAGATCAAATTTTGTTCCTACATTTTAAAAGATCCTATTAGGCAACCGATTTTTGCTGGTCCCTTGGGGCTTACAACAGGTTTCTCTGTGTACGTGTTAAGAGTTGCCAGAGACATCAGGAGTCAGACAGACTAGAATATATTGTTTTAAAACACTTCTTTGATGTAGAGAAACACTTAAGTCTGACCTGGATATCTTGATATTCCACATAAGCAGATAGCTGACTAAAAGTTAGAAGGATACTGTTAATGTGATCCTTAAATACTATCAGAATGGATCCCCTGCCTTCCAACAGGTTCTAATCCATCAAATTCACCTTCAGTGCCCCCAAAATTATATTCAATTAATCAACATTTGCTACATTCAGCTCATTGACTAGTTCTCAAAGTCCAAATCATCAGAAATAGGAGCTAAGGGAAGGCAGGGATAACACTAATATGCACCCATTCCAGTGAGCTATGAAATAGCATAGGATATATATATCTATATATAATTTACATGTACTGTTTCACAAACTCTTTACTTACAAAAGCAATATAAATATTATTTATTCCATATAGTATACTTAGCAATGAGACAAGCAGGGCATTTTCTGTATATTCAAAGCACTTCAGTACAATATTAAGCATAGTTGCCTAAAGGATGCTCATGCATCTTTAAATATATGCAGAGAAATATCGGGAATGGCTGTACAAAGCACAGGAAGAATTAAAGCAACAGAGGTCAAGATTCACATTGTTCAAAGTGTTTGACCAAGCAGCTCAACAGAATTTTCCATCAGGTGATTTATTTAATTTTAAAATTTTTCTTGCCAGAAGGAGGTCTGAAAAATGAGAGGGCAAAACTAACAAAAACTAGACTCCAATTTCTCTCTGCCTAACTTTAGGTATGCTGGTGACTAATCAGTGTAATTCTGTAGATGTTAGGAGTTGTACAGCTGATTTACAATGGAGTAATTGAGGCACTCCCAGACAGCTCTTTAGTTGGTTTGAAGTAGGACAGTTCACAGAAATCAACATGGCACAGTTAGTTTAAAACTATCTAAGAATCTGCCCTTTGTGCCTAATTTAACACTGATTCTCATATTCCCCCTTCCACATTAAAAACAAAAATAAATAAGGAAAAAAGAAAGAGATGTTGTCAACTTGGAAAAAAATCATATTTCTGTCAGAAAATCTGACAGCTACTGTTTTCACAAGCAACACCCAAAGTTACAGAAGCTTAAAAAAAAATAAAAAAATCAGTAAAAACCAAAAAAGTATATTTCTTCCCGTGGTGGGTTGTCTACCGTACACTGGCATGAAAGTGAAAATAAATAAGGAAAAAAGAAAGAGATGTTGTCAACTTGGAAAAAAATCATATTTCTGTCAGAAAATCTGACAGCTACTGTTTTCACAAGCAACACCCAAAGTTACAGAAGCTTAAAAAAAAATAAAAAAATCAGTAAAAACCAAAAAAGTATATTTCTTCCCGTGGTGGGTTGTCTACCGTACACTGGCATGAAAGTGGTTAA